GAGAGGAGTGTGAACCGGGCGATAGGCGTAATGATCCACTCCTATTGAGGAAAAAGTTAAAAATGAAATAGTAAATAAATTTTCAGAGTTTAGGCGGAGACATTGGAAGCACACAGTTGAAGTAGATTTTAGAAGGAACCGGTAACCCAATCCTAAATAGAAAACAAGGAATAAACCTCTACTTCTGTTCAAAAGAGGAGTGTGAAACGGGCGATAGGCGAACCTATCTACTAGAATAGCAAGAGGGTTGAGACGTTTCGTCTTTGGGTTCGGAGTTGTAGAGTTGAAAATAATTCGTTATCCACAAGGCCGTGATGACGCTGCTGAAGTCTGTGAGGACTGGTCGGCTTCAATCCAGACACGGCAGCAGTACTCCATAACAGTAATATTTTCAGTTGAATGTAATCAACTCCGACTGGTCTATCTGGCCGTGGAGAATCGCCTAATGAAAAATCTACAACACGAATTTTCGCAAATCATTTTTTATACGTTCCATTAACCATTATAACTTCTCATTGAACTGTATAAATATTTTTTTTTTGCATTTAAGTCGTATTTTCCCTTTTTTAAAAAGACAATCAGTAATTCATAACCAACCCGTAAGCAAAAAATATGAAAATTTATTTATAGCCAACCAGTAGACAATTTATAGCCAAGCAGTAAACAAAATCTATAACAATATATTTATAGCCAATCAGGAAACAATTTACAGTCAATCAGTAAACAAATCTATAACAATTTATTTATAGCCAATCAGAAAACAATTTACAATCAGTAAACAAATCTATAACAATTTATTTATAGCCAATCAGGAAACAATTTACAGTCAATCAGTAAACAAAATCCATGATAATTTATTTACAGCCAATCAGTAAACAAAATCTATAACAATTTATTTATAGCCAATCAGGAAACAATTTACAGCCAATCAGTAAACCAAATCTATAACAATATATCTATAGCCAACCAGCAAACAGTTTACAGCCAATCAGTAAAGAAAATATATGATAATTTATTTACAGCCACTCAGTAAACAAAATCTATAACAATTTATTTATAGTCTTTCTGGAAACAATTTACAATCAGTAAACAAAATCAAAATACTTTCTTTATAGCCAATCAGGAAACAATTTACAGCCAATAAGTAAACAAAATCCATAATTTATTTATAGCCAATCAGTAAGCAATTTAAAGCCAACCAGTAAACAAAAACTATAAGAACACTAATATTTTCAATGGAAGTGTACGTTGATAAGAGAACTCCCATAATACATCGAAGATAGTAAAAGTAACACTGTATAGAAACGCAGGCGTTAGATATGCCGTTCGAAAATTAACTGTTTTTCGACAAGCAAACTTTCCTGCCAAGATATGCGCACATCAGACACATGCAACAACTATAAATTAAAATGCACGTGTTCTTTTGTTATTCTTTCGGGATCGTGATTGCTTTTAATGTTTGGCGGTTTTTTCAGGTGCAAAAGCGAAGCTTGAACTGAGTTGTCATACGTAAGAACTTCCGCAAACATAGAGTTGCCCATGAAAGCCATAAAGAACCAGACAAAACAGAAATATGGTCATACTAGCCTTACATTTTGTTTTTCAAAAGTTTTAAGCGGGAATTTGCCGTTTATGTATGACTAAAGTAAATAATATAAAGTTTCTTTAAAAGTGTGTGAGCGACGCGCTTGGTTTGCTATTTTAGGCATTTTTTTTTATGACACAGACACTAGTTTTAATGTATCTTCTAACACTCTGCATAATTTTGTTTTATCTAGGATGATAGATACGAAGCTGGTCTCTTGAAATAAAAGAACGTATAATGTCAACAAAGAGAAATCTTCCCTGTGCAATCGAGTAGGACTGGTTTATTATGAAGGTAGTAAAGAGTCAAACGTCGCTTATAGATTGAAGCTAGAAGGGACGGGAATCTGTCGGAAGGCACGATCCTTCTTGTACTGAAGGATCGTAGCCCATAAAAGAAAACTGGAGCTCGAAGAAAAAAAAAAAGACTTTACTTAAAACCAGAAAGACGCAGCTGAAATTTATGGAAGACATCTTAAAGAAATAAAAGACTTTTAAAGACACTTTTATCCCCACTAACGAAACGTTTCGCTCTCTTGCCGCTCTCTCGCTATTTCCATGCTAAATGTTCAGACGTGTTACGTCCCTTAGTCTAGACCTTCACAGATAGAACTCGCCATGCCACTTAAACAGGGGTCGAACTGTGTTTTGAGCCCACTTTGGGGGTTAACTATTTGCCCATAATTCGGATCCTAACAGCTATTACTACCCCGGATCAGGGTGAACCTGGGAAAAACAGCAATTAAGATGTGGTTCCACGCTCCTCAAAACCTCCCCATCAGAGGCCTTGCTGCCGGATGTAGTTTATCGTCATACCCAGAACGGTTGGCTAAAGCGTTATAGCCTTCCTCCCCATTGTAAACCAGGTGTGCGTAAACTACGGCCCGGGCTCCGAATGTTACCCGGTTGATTGTTTCATGCGGCCAGCAAGAGCCCAACAAACATTTAAATATCGATTTTTAGATATTGATATTTTGGATTACATGTTTCATAAAATCGAAATCTATTCAAAAACAAACAAAAACAAAAAATGCAAACCGTATATATTTAATAGCGAACCCCAGTTTTCCACAAAATCAACCTATTGTGTTATGTACAACTACAGAGACCCATGGATCGCTATGGGCCCACATCTTACCTTTTATTTAACTGCAGTTTTAAAACGTACGATATCACACTACTATATTAGATTTATTTAGATTTATTTTGTAGAAAGTGAGAAACTCTCAAGTGTATGTATAACTACAGAGGCACATGGATCGCTACGGGCCCACATTTTACCGATGTCAATGCCCTATCATCATGGGAAAACTGCGGGCCCGCCGACTACATGAGGCCCGACTGGCTTTATAAATGGCCCACTTAATTTCATGTGGAAAATAGCGTTTCTTAAAATGTTTGTTTCTTTTCGTTTTCACTTGTTCACTCACATACTCTTATGCATAGCCATATACATAAACAATAATTAAGTACAACGTTTCTTAATTTTTTTTTCACATTTCGTTGATGGTAACGTTGTCAGAATTTTAAACCATTGGCGATTTTCACTATGGAAGATCATGCATGTAAATATATTTTGCTTCAGAAACAGGAATCGTCAAAGACAATTATTCTTTTACAAATATTTTTGTCCACTCTAATGAATAAATTAGAAACACATCACATGCAGCAATGTGTGCTGATCACGCTGTCATCGGTGATAGTAGTATACCTAGAAGTCATTTTTTTAATATTATACACCAAATCTCTCCCCCCCCCCCACAAAATCAACTTTTCTCCAAATCTAAGGCAGATGACTTTGTTGGGGAAATGGCTGCGGTGTCTTTAATAAATAAATACCTTACTACTTTTGGTGGTGCGTCCCATCTTGTAAAGCACTGTGCCTCATGCGGCCCAATGTTCGCAAAAGGATGACCATGCTGGGTTTAATCAGACGATCTAAGTGTCTTGATGCCTGTTTTACGGGGGTGTCGTTTTTTGAACACCCCAGGAGATTTATCGAGAATTTCCTATTATTGAAAAGGATTTTCCTTGTGTGTACAAATGTCATTAATCCCAGCAAATATATTTAATACAATCTAATTTCTCATATAGTTTGAAATCTGTCTCCAAAATTTGTCTAATAAACAAATAAATGTACAAGTAAGATGCATATATATAATTGATATTTATATGGCCGTTGTGAAACTAGATTTGTTATTGTGTAACGGCCAACTTTGCACAGGGCCAACAATGATGTGGCAGTATATGAAAAAAAGTTTTCCCAACTTTCTTGTAGACAGGCACAGACTGATCTCAGGTACTGAGTAAGTACTTTAATCTTAACGTTAAGGACTGGTTTCCTTTTTGGCTGAAAAGCAACGAAGATTGAAAATGCTACCCTTTATTTAAATGCAGTTTTAAAACGTATATCTTTCTTTTAATGTACCATGTCATGGCTCTCCACCTCCCTCTATCTCTTGCAGCTCTCAACAAGTTCCTTCCCTCTGATTCCTCCCTCAGACCACGTTCTGCCATCCACTTGCTTAAGTCCGCCAGGTATTCCATGCGTTGTTTTCTCTTATCTCTTTTTCCCTCTATTCGACTCGTGAGTATCAGATTATCTAGGCCCTCCTTCCTCGTTATGTGTCCCAGAAACTTAATGTATATGCAAACAGTTTCATTTTTCACGCTTCATACTTGTGGACATCTCTTTTGCCGCCTTACTTTACAGTAAAGTTTGATCCTCAATGTAGGGCAATTTCCTCAAAGCTGAAAAAGAGACTCGGGGCGATGGAGATGTGGTTCTACAGAAGGATGCTAAGGATATCATGGACCGAGCGTGTGAGCAAGGATGAAGTCTTAGAGAGGTTGCAAACAAGGAGGAGGCTTATACTTAATATCAGGAAGAGGCAGCTGAAGTTTCTGGGACACATAATGAGGACGGAGGGCCTAGAGAATCTGATACTCACGGGTCGAATAGAGGGAAAGAGAGACAAGGGAAAACAACGAAGAAAAGAACACTGAGTTGTTACGTGACATCTGTCCTTCTTTAGGGCAGCGAATGTTGGAAAAAAGATGAAGAGACTCGAGGCGACGGAAATGTCGTTCTACAGAAGGATGCTAAGGATATAATGGACCGAGCGTATGAGCAACGAGGAGGTCTTAGAGAGGTTGCAAACAAGCAGGAGGCTTATACTTAATATCAAGAAGAGGTAGCTGAAGTTTCTGGGACACAAAATGAGGAAGGAGAGCCTGGAGAATCTGATACTCAAAGGTCGAATAGAGGGAAAGAAAGTTAAGGGAAGGCAACGCGTGATATACCTGGCGGACTAAAGCAAGTGGATGACAGAACGTGGTCTGGAGAAGGAAGCAGATGGAAGGAACTTGCTGAGAGCTACAAGGGATAGAGGGGGTGGAGAGCCATGATCGCCTACGTCGTGTAAGGACATGGCACATAAAAAGAAAGAAAAAAGAGAATATGCCAAACCGGAAATAAGTGGGGAAAGAAAGAAAGAAAGAAAGGGGAAAAAGAAAGAAAGAAAGAAAGAAAAACTGAAAGAGAAAACACGAGAGAAAAGTTCGAATGGATCGCCTTATAGACAAACAGAGAGATGCACTGGCGGGGTCGGATGAAGGATGGGACGAGGGGGGAGACGTGTGGCTGGATGCACGGACGCTGGAACACGAAAGGAAAACAGCGCATTGTTATTCTGATAAATAAACCAGTGGGCAAGTAAACGTGTTAATTGCCAGAGTAATTTAGAGCACACGGAAAGTGAGATTGGCGACAAGGCAAGGTGGAGGGGGGCGTACAAGAAAAGAAGAGAAATTTAGTCGATCAATCGGTACGTCGAGCAGAATTATAAAGAGCCGATTGTTTCGGCATTGTGTAGAAAGTGTGAGAAAATAAAAAGTTGTTTGATCTATCTATCTATCTGACTATTTCGCTGTTGTGTGTGCGCAAAAGTTCCCAGTACCCTTGAAAAGCTGAGGGTGATGCATAAGTATTTTTTGGTTTAAAACATTAACACTCACTAAATATCTATATACTAACAGGTTAAGATTACGATCCATAATTAATCTTGAAATTATTTTATGTGGGGGGGGCAATCAAAGCAAATTCAGTAAATACTGTTTTTTTAAAGTTTATACTTTTTATTACAATATTCCTTTTAAAATGGTCTATATATTGATTCATCTAGCCTTCCATATTCCAGCCAAAATAGATTTAATAGATGTTTCAATATTTTTTATGCTATTCTTCAACCAATAAAAGGTCTAAGACTCGCTTAAGATAGAATTTTATTGACTGAGGTTGCTGTAAGTTCGTAAATCGAGGAATTTTATTGACTGAGGTTGCTGTAAGTTCGTAAATCGAGGAATTTTTTTGACTGAGGTTGCTGTAAGTTCGTAAATCGAGGAATTTTATTGACTGAGGTTGCTGTAAGTTCGTAAATCGAGGAATTTTTTTGACTGAGGTTGCTGTAAGTTCGTAAATCGAGGAATGTTATTGACAGGTTGATGTAAGTTCGTAAATCGATGAATTTTATTAACTGAGGTTGATGTAAGTTCGTAAATCGAGGAATTTTATTGACTGAGGTTGATGTAAGTTCGTAAATCGAGGAATTTTATTGACTGAGGTTGCTGTAAGTTCGTAAATCGAGGAATTTTATTGACAGATTGATGTAAGTTCGTAAATCGAGGAATTTTATTGACTGAGGTTGATGTAAGTTCGTAAATCGAGGAATTTTATTGACTGCGGTTGCTGTAAGTTCGTAAATCGAGGAATGTTATTGACAGGTTGATGTAAGTTCGTAAATCGATGAATTTTATTAACTGAGGTTGATGTAAGTTCGTAAATCGAGGAATTTTATTGACTGAGGTTGATGTAAGTTCGTAAATCGAGGAATTTTATTGACTGAGGTTGATGTAAGTTCGTAAATCGAGGAATTTTATTGACAGGTTGATGTAAGTTCGTAAATCGAGGAATTTTATTGACTGAGGTTGATGTAAGTTCGTAAATCGAGGAATTTTTTTGACTGAGGTTGATGTAAGTTCGTAAATCGAGGAATTTTTTTGACTGAGGTTGCTGTAAGTTCGTAAATCGAGGAATTTTATTGACTGAGGTTGCTGTAAGTTCGTAAATCGAGGAATTAAGAAGTGCAGGCTACGATATTTTTAAAACAATTCAACCCAAGCAAGACGCTAATGCCACTAAGACGCAAGTGGCTACTGGGAGTTAAAAAGAATACTTTAGAAGGAACTGGAAACCCAGTCCTAAACTGGAAACAACGGATAAAGCTTTACTCCTGTTCATAAGAGTTGGGAGGAGTGTGAATCGGACGATAGGCGAACCTATTTACTACTGTGTATCACGGTTGACTCAAGATTTGAAGAGGTTGTAGTGATCGGAAAGCATCATCTTGGGAGTCTGATCCATAAAGAAATATTTCTGGGAATGAAGCTCTACTGTTCTTGCTTATTAATGGAAAACAAAGAGGAAGAGTCGAAATTCGACACCGGTAAAGTGATATGGCGAGTTCTAGCTGTGAATGTTTAAACTTAAATTTAGCTCGTCAGAACATCTGCTATGAAAATAAAAACTGAGTTGTGAGCGGCTAAGAACGTTTCGTCTGTGAGGAAAGCGGTTGTTGGTTGGGAAATAATTCATCACCCACAAAGCCGCGTAAATGCTTTTGAATTCTGTGAAAGCTGGAAGGTAAAAATTGTGTGGCTGCAGCCAAGATATTGCAGCCATACTCCATCTTTGCTGTGATCTAAAGTTTATACCGACAGGTACTTACTGGCGCGCTACAATGAACAGATCATTTTTTCAACATCTTCAGCGATGGGCTGGGTATACATAATACGATATATACAGGGTGCGAGTGCTATTTGAGAACATTTTTAGTATGTTAAATAAACAGCAATATCTTTGAAAACAATGTATATATTTAATTCAGATTGACACAAATATCCTTCATGATACTTCTTGATCTAATTATTCTATGAAATCACCTTTGGCTTCAATGACTATTCGGACTCAAAACCGCCCACAAGCTGCAGTTAAGTGGACCCTATTCATTTTGGACATCACCTGGACAATGAAGGCCTTCAGTGCAATTATGGTACTCTGAGGATGTCGATAAGTCTACTTTTCAACGACGCTCGACACGTAATAATCCATAGGATTTAAATCTGGTGAGTTAAGGGGGTCACATGATCGTAAAAATTCTCTGATAACCTGCGTTAAAATGGCTTTGTGATAAGGTGCAGTCTTTTTGAAAGACATATGACTTTCCATTGCATACTTTATTTATCCAGGGATTAACAACCGTTTTAAGAACATTAATGTATCCAGCAGCATTGACCCTAAGACCTTGTGGGAAAATGTAAGGTGGCATGACATGACCTTCACTGCTCACAACTCCTAAAACCATCACAGTGGCCGGAAATTTGGTGTGCATCACCCTGGGTACTTCAGAAGGAGATGCACATAGCCACCTGTCATTCCGTCTGGATGTTTTCTGATCTTGGTTAAATTTTTTTTTTCGTCAGAGAAAAACCAAAGCCTGCCATGTTCGTGGGGATTTTTCACTTTGTTCAGGCAACCATTTTGAACGCATATAACGGTTTTCCTGTGTCTTCGCCGATATGAATTAACCTTTCCTCATTACATATGACTTATATCGAATGTCCTGCTGTACCACAGTTCTGATAGTCCACTCTGATACCTGGAGTTCTTTGACGATGGACCTCATTGATCTTCCGGGATTCTGATCGATGATGTTTTCAACATTCCGTATAAATTCTGGTGTTCTCATGGTATCAGAGCGCTGTGAATACTTTTTTTTCTTTTTGCTACAGGGGAAACATTGCCATCACATCCCTCTAGCTCCAACCGAAACTTATGAACAAATGATCTGGCAACATGTAAAAAGTTACTAATTTTTAAATCACTATGTTTTAAGCTAAAGCAACAATGACGGCATGACTTTTCATTTCTTGGGTTAACATCTTCCTCTGAATGGGTTATCTGAAATAAAAAAAAATAATATTATAAATGATTTGAGTGTGTAGTGAACGTAAAACAATATGTCCTCAAATAGCACTCGCACCCTGTATATGGAGTCGCACTTTAAAATTTGGAGTGATCTTAAGACCTGTTAGGAGTTCAAGTCAATAAGACTCAATGAGAGTACTACTGTCCGTCAGGGCCGGAGAAAATTTCAAGCAAGAAGTGTAAAAAAAGAAACTTTTTCCATATACCATAAAGTTACATCTGGAAATTTCAACTGTAAAATGGTAACATCTTGCCACCAATCTAGTACTGCATTTAAATTCATAAAGTTTAAGTACCATAGAGGTAAGGTCATCAGAACAATTTGCATGAAAGTATTTATTAAAAAAAAAAAAAGGCAAAGGGAAGCGACATTACGGCGGTGGGAAAGTGACTGGATCTGAGATGCCAGGTCAGGACCAATTTTATTCCGGCGATGGGAAAAATATCATTTATTAGGTTGGTGCATAATTATCAGGCGTTTTTATAGGCGAGTTATTTGTTAACAAAAATTGCTGTTTTGTTTACTTTTTTTTAATAAAAAATATTATTTTATTTTCTGTTTATAAAAATGCGTGTCGATAATCATACACTCCGGAATAATCATTTAAAAATGTCTTTGTCGAATTGTTTCTTTTTTCATAATAGAAATTGTTTTAAAACGCCTCATGATTATACACGAAACAAATAGTTTATTCAAATCTATTTTTAGCGTATATATTGATCTAATATTTTTCTTCTATAATTTTTAGTTAATGGAGCTACATAATCTTCCAGTAAACAGAGAGATTTAGCTCACTGGTTTTATTACAGCACTGTTAAAGGTAGTTATACCGAAATTCAAAAGATTATTTGTAGAAACACGTTTTATAAAACGTGATATGGAAATCTTAATGTTTGTAACATTTACAACTCTAAATCAGTTGTTCGTAACACCTACTAGATGAAACTTAAATTTGGCTGTTCATAACACATTCTTCGTCTTCTGTGTGCCGTGTCTCTTCAGTACGTTGGCGATCATGGCTCTCCACAATTTCCTGTCCTTTTTATAGCTCTTAATAATTTCTGTCGTTTTTCTATTTCTCCCAAGCACTGCTTCGCCATCAATTCACTCAAGCTCACCAGGTAGGTTATGCCTTACTTTCCACTGTCTCTCTCTTATCTTCAATCTGCCCCATGAGCATCAAATTTTCCAAGTCCTCTTTCCTCATTATGTGTCCCATAAATGTCAACTGTCTCTTCCTTATGTCAATTATAAGCGTTCTTTTTGTTGACACCGTCTCCAGATCTTCGTCGTGGCTCACATGTTCGACCCATGATATTTTCAAGATCTTTCTGTAGAACCACATTTCCATTGCTATAAGTCTCTTTGTTATATACCGTACCTATGTACATTTATGGGTATGTCCCAATTCTCATAAATACGTTGGACACTATTGTAAATGGGGGTAATATGCTGTCTAAGCTAGCAGCGTGAGCTGTCAGCGTGGGA